GGGTTCCAAAAAAAAAAAAAAAAAAAGCATGCATGGGTAGATGGGGGCGGCCGGAGGCGGTGGGGGAGGCCGCAGAAATCACGTTATCTGAATCTGGATTCTCCTCATAGAGTAGGTTCAATCACCAACTTCTTCATTTTATTTTACTTCCCACATCTGGTTGGGCTGCACCACTGCCTGAGGTGATACAAGCATCCCCATGCAGTGGCCTCCCATTCTATGTACTACCTGGGGCACTGGGGCCGTAATACAGCTTTTCTTTCTGGGGGCGGGGGGGAAGAAGGCAATGGCAATTTTTTTTTTAGTATAATAGTGTAGGTTTTTTTCAGGTAAAAAAAAAAAAAAAGGGAAGAAAAGGGTTTAGGGCTTTTAGGTTTATTCCCATCCCATCACGTATCCCATGAGAAGGAGAAAGGGCTTTCGATCCCCTACTCTCGACATGCACAAAAGACCAAAATCATGGCGGTGTATCTTTCCATGTTCTAGCGGAAGATTCACTCTCGTTTTGCACAAGTCTAGAGTAGCGGAGCGAGGTCCAAGGACTGTCTATGCTATATAGGGTACCACCGTCTGAAAGCTCTTTTTTTCTTTTTCTTTTTTTTTTTTTGGGGGGGCGGGGGGGGTACTCAAAGCTCAATTCATGCACACATGCATTTTTTTTATTTATTTTTTTAATCCAGTCCTCACTTATAAGACCGGCGCCATCACCAGCACATGTGCTGCTCCCCACGAGTAGAGTGGAGCATTCCGCGCGGCCCACCCCCCGGGGGGGAAAAAAGAGGACCAGTGCCATCACAGACAACGCCTCCAACCCACAGGCCCTCTAATCGCTGCGGCACGCTGAAGTCTTGTCAAGATGTTCACCAACAAAACAAGAAAAAAAAAAAAAAAAAAAAAAAAAAAAAAAAAAAGATACATGCAAATTCAACGGAGACAAGTCCAAACCCAAAAAAAAAAAAAAAAAAAGTTCGACAAGCCACAAGTACACGCAACACAAAATTTGCGACCTACAAGCTGGTCTTTTTCTTTTTCCTTTTTTTTTTCTTTTTCTTTTTCTTTTTCTTTTTCTTTTTCTTTTTCTTTTTCTTTTTCTTTTTCTTTTNTTTTTCTTTTTCTTTTTCTTTTTCTTTTTCTTTTTCTTCTTTTTTGTGTGTCCCCCCCGCCTTACGGCTTTGAGCCTTCACGACTGAACACTAGCAAAGCGGATTGGATCAAACGCCTGAATCTAGACGAGTTTGGCGCAGAGACGCAGAAATGCAGATAAATCCCGATTTTCGGAACCTCTCCAGAAACACGTCCACATTCAGGCCCTATATCCAATCCAATCCTCTTTGCTAGTGGGACCTCGCCCCGGCCCGTAACTATTTTCAACATTTTCTTTCTTAACGCTTTTTTTTTTTTTTTTTTTTTTTTTTTTTTTTTTCGTTTTTTTTTTCATTTTCTTTAAGTTCGATTTACTGATCTTTTTGTTGGTTTCCTTTTTTTTTCCCCTTTTCTTTAATTTGATTTACTGATCAATCTTGGAATAAATTAATTAACCAACATAGATCAATTTCACAAATTAATTTAACTTAAACCAATAATAACAACATCGACGTTTAGGGCACATTCGCACTAGGGACTTTTCTTTGGACGTACGTGACCGCAAATACGGCCAAATTCAGTCTACAAACTCGTCGACGTCTAGGTACATTACTGCCATTTAATAAAGAGGTACTTCATTTTGCAAGACCCCCTTAAAAAAAAAAAAAAAAAAAAAAACGGAAAAAAGGAAGACTCCCCAAAATAATCTTAAGCCACTCTGAAAAAAATACACTAAATTCCAAAACCAATACATCATGACATTTATATATACATTTACATTGCATAATCTTCTGTTAAAAACAACTATAAATAAACATTTATATTCTCATTAAAAATAAATTCTGACCCCATACACTCCCCCTCCCCCCCCCCTCTCCTCGGCTCCACCTTTGCCCTTTCAACTACGAGGTTAATACTGGCATCATTTTGACAAGATTTTTCTCCATTATTATTATCATTTTTTAATCGTCACTGTTAGTCGATGATTATACAATTTTTTATTATTAATTATAAATTTCTAAAATTATAAATTTTAGTACTTCAATCTGATCCTCGATGATAGCTAACAATTTATAAATAAATAAAAAAAGTTTCAAATTTGAACCCAAAAAAAAAAAAAACTTTTAAGAAACCTAAGACTCGCTAAATCCAACAAAATTTAAATAACAGTAAGAACAAATAATTTTCTTTTTTTTGTTTTTTATCGTGACCCTCAATATCCACTATAGATTTTAACTATAGATATTTTATTATGAATCTGTTTGACAATACATATTATAGATATACATATATATTTTACTTTCTTTGGTTCAATTTCTCAAAATTCCCCCTTCCCAATCATACACCCTTTTCTCCTCCTTCCCCCCTCCTCACCTCCCCCCCAAAAAAAACGGCCCTGATTTGCTTTTTTTTTTTGGTTTAATTTTCCTGTCCAATCATACACCCTTCGGGGACAAGAACAAAAGCAGGCACCCTTCCCCGTCTTCTCCCCCTCCCCCCCAAAAAAAGCCCCTGATTTTTTTTTCTTTAATTTTAATTTCCCCCTCCCAATCATACACCTCTTTTTTTCTTTTCTTTCTTTTCTTTTTCTTTTTTTTTGGAGAAGTCACTTTATATTTCAAAACAGAAGTGGTCGGGGCCGGGGACCTCACAATCATACACCTTTTCCTGCCTTCCCCCCCCCTCCCTTCCCCTCTCCCCCCCCCCCCCCCTCCCCCCCCCCCCCCCCCCCCCCAAGGAAAGGCCCAAGGTTCCCCTTTTTTCCCTACCTCCCCCCCGAAATCGGCATGCCCGGGGGTATCAACAACGTTGAGAACGTAGCCCTTGTATTCAAACGACGTGCACTTGGAGGCTATGGTAATTCCCCGCTCTTTCTCGAGAGTGATGCTATCCATGACTCTCTCTCCCTCCAAATTCAATCCGCAATGCTTGAGCAGTCGGTCCATCAACGTCGTTTTCCCGTGGTCCACGTGTGCAATGATTGCTAAGTCTCGAATCCCGACGGAAGATGAGGAGTCACGTGGCGCACTTTTCCCGCCATTTTGTTCCACCTCCTCCGCCTCCCTCCTCTCCTCTCGTTCCATGCCGGCAGTTGAACCCGTGACTAGATTCCTTGTACCGAACAACGCTGGCCAGGACGAAGACGGCGCCCCCGCCATCGCCGACGCCATAGCCATCTTCGGGAAGCTCGAGAAGAAGCAGGAGGAGGAGGAGGAGGAGGAGGAGGAGGGGGAGGAGAAGCCGAGGGGGGGAGGAGAGAGGAGGACAACGACGGCCGTCGATCCTCTCCGCTGCCCCAGCTTCGGCGTTGGATATGAAGCAGGAGGAGGAGGTGACCGCCATCTCTGCCACGTTGACCATCCCGATCGCGACTGGACGTTAAATGTTGACGTACCAGTCGACGATGACGACGGTTGCCGGCCGATCGATGACTGTTGCGATCCAGATCCCGACGCGACGTTAAATGATGACGTGGCAGACGAAGAGCCCCCCTTGAGTGGCGGGAAAGTCGACGACGACGAGGATTGCCCGCCGCCGATGGACGATCGCTTGACACAGTTCCATATTGGGTTTTGCTGTGGAGGGACAAGATCGAAATCCTTCTGATCTCGACACGTGGCAGTCGTCGCGGCCGCTGAAGAATCGGGATCTGATAGTGGAGATGACGACAATGGAAATGCAGATAAGGACGGTGATGATGACGTGGCAATCGCTGCCACCGCTGATTCTCCCCCCCCACCCTTCGTCGCTGAGGCTGCCCAGAAAAAAACTGCACGACAGCGAAGACACGTGGCGGTCGTACGTACCGACCTGGATAGGGATCGCCGTCCCCACGTCATCATCATCGGAACCGCCATCCTCTATCGCCTCATCTTATCTTTTTCTTTTTTTCCCTTTCTAACTTCCTCCTCCTTGCTCAGGACATCTTTGCAGACACAGAGGCAAACGCTCCTCCTCACCTTCACCACTTTTTTTGTGTGTTTTTTTTTTTTTTTTTGGCTAATCGGACCTCTTTATCTTTCCGATCTTAACTTCTACTGGAAGACCGTTTTCCACTGTTTTCCAAGCCGTTATTCACCGCCTGCCAAACGGAGTAGATTAGAGTGATAAGAGCGATGGCCAGGAGAAAATGACATCTTGTCGTCTTCCTCTTTTTCTTGCCTCGATAGGTGAAAGAAGGTGGAAACGCGCGAGCGAGGGGCCTCGCTCCACCACTCACGAAATGTGCAAAATGAGAACGAATCTTCTGCTAGAACATGGAAAGATGCACCGCCATATTTTTCGTCTTTTGTGCATGCAGTGAGTAGTGGAGCGAGGGCCAAAGAAAGAAGTCTGAGGCCTGGACCCCACAGGAATGCGGAATGGAAAAACTTCGCCGCAGAACTGTTACCTGGACCTCACAACGCGCGGAAGAGGTCTTGGAAAGTTACGATTTTTCCGCGCAACTGTTTCGTGGGACCCCACAGCCCACGTTTTTTCGTCCAGAAGAGGACTGAAATCCGTTTTCACATAGGGCCTCGTTCCACTACCCTCAACTTTAAAAAAACTCAAGGGCAGTCCTACACCCGCCCTTGAGCCTAAACCTAAATAAAAAATGGGGTAACTTCGGCGCAGTCACGAAAACAGTTGGTAATTGCACTTCACGCAATCCTGCGAATACAACACACCCCCACCCGACCCCACCGGACCCGAAACGTAGGTCACATACATTCAGCATTACCGGCCCTTTTGCCTCAAGTGCAATTACAAACTCAATCCCTGACTGCGCCGTAGTTTTCTCATAAAAAATACTATAAGGGCCTCGTTCCACTACCCTCGACTCGAAAAAAATATCAAGGGCAGCCCTACGGGCGCCCTTGAGCCAAAACGTAATTAAGTTCCCGCTCGCAAAAGGAGCGGGAAAATGTGCACCCCGGTTCGTTAGGGAATTTTTACAAGGTGGTTACTTGTTTGGTCCAGGGGACACGGAAATGTCCGCCTTGTAGGCGATTGTGACTCGAATTTCAGTTCGCTGCCTGCACCGTCCGAATTCGAAATTCGAATAGCGGTGGTACCAGCAGCTGCGGCCTATGAACGGGAGTTGTATGCGGGGGAAGACATCTTCCAGCTCCCTGAACGACAGCGCCGCGCAGCTTGATAGCGCTGTGCCCCTCGTTCACCACCCAGCTACTTCGCGTGGTTCACCACCCAGGTGCATCGCTGGACCAGGACAACCGCGATTGGCAAAAAAAAAAAAAAAAAAAAAAAAGGACCGGACGGGGGGGCTGAACTGCCTGGCGGCGCATGTTGGTGCTGTTTCCAAGAAAATTGAAGTCACCTCTGGGAGGTGACTTGAAAATTGGCCGAAGTTGCCTGGGCACCCTACGGCCGCCGAGTTTCAGAGCGGGACTTTCTTGAGGCGGGAACCTTAAACCACCAGTACCTCGCTCAGCTATCAGCCGCGGGCCTTCCCGTATACGCGCCGCAGCCTTAGGGGGGTCGGCCAAGGGAAGGCCCGGTCTTAGCCAGAAAGTCAGGCCCCGCTTCTGTAGGGACGACACAGTAGAGGAG